ATTCATAGCTCCACCAACAGTGCCTTCATGTGCCTCCAGCATTGACCAGTCCCATCTTTTGTTATCTGACAATTTGCTGCCCATAAAGTGAAATCTCAGGGTAATGTTGTGATTTACATCCCTCTTATTATTTGAATTGGGCAGCTACATGAGACTCATCTTTGTAAGTTCAAATCTGGCCTTTGACACCAGCTTTGTGACCCTGAACAAGTCACTTAACTCTATTTGCCTCAGTTCCTCATCTGTAAAATGAGCTAGAGAAGTAAATGGCAAGCCACTCTAGTATCTTTGCTGAGAAAACCCTAAATGGGGTTACAAAGAGCTGGATATGACTAAAAACAACTGAACCACAAACAACAACATTATGTGAATTAGAATTTTGTTTGATTGTTAATAATTTGGAATTTTTCATTTGAGAACTGTTCATATCCCTTGACCATTAACTATTTGAGAATGGCTTTTAGGCTTGTATATTTCTGTTAGTTTTCCAGATATTTTGAATATCAGGATCTATTCAGAAATATTTGACAGCAGAGATTTTTCCCAGTCACCTGTTTCCGTTCTTATCATAGCTGAATTAAATTTGTTTCTGCAAAAGCTTTTCAATTTAGTGGAATCAAAATGATATATTTTATCCTTTATAATCTCTTTTCTCCCTTGTTTGGTTAAGAATTAATTGCCTGCCCATAGCTGTGAAAGGTATATGATCTGTTTGTCTTCTAATTTTTTATGGTCTGATCTTTTATACTCTGGCCGTATATCCATTTTGAAATTTATTGTGCATTATGGTGTAATTTCTGCCAGAATATTTTCTAGTTTCCTCAACTAGAACACCTGAATAGGGTGTTCTTTCTTAGGTAAGTAATGTTTTTTTTTTTTTTTTCCCGGTTTATTGAACATTGGGTTATTAAATTCTCGGATTTCTGATTCCTCCTTGTCTTTCTATACTTTCGTTGTTTACCCAGGACCAAATAATTTTTGGGAATTTCTGCTTTATATTATAGTTTGAGTTCTAGTTCTATAAAGTATCCCTTTGGTACTTTGGTATAACACTAAATATATAAATTAACTTTGGTAGTATTGCCTTTTTTATTATATTTACACGGACCAGCCACGAGCACTAAATATTTCTCTAATAATCCAGTTTTTTATTTGATTAAAAAGTATGTTAAAATACATACACAAATCTGTGTATATACATACACATATACACACATACATACATGTGCATATAAAGGATTGTTATGCTTTGGTAGATCACCGTCCAGATATTTTAGGCATCTTGTTATTTTGAATGGGACTTCCCCTTTAATTGTTGCTTCCAGGATTTTGTTACTACTATATAGAAATGCAGTTTCTGTGGGTTTACTTTGCAGCCTGCATCTTTACTGAAGCTTTTAATTATCTCCGTTTCTTTGATTCCCTAGAGTTATTCAAGTATAACATCATGTCATTAGCACATAGGAATAATTTGGTCTCCCCTTCTCCTTTCTTCCTGGTTTTAATTTTTTAGTGTATGTTTTCTGAACGCTACTGCTAGCATTTTTGTAACTGTGTCAAATAATACCAGGGAAAGAGGACATCTTTACTTCATTCCTGTATTTACTGGGAAAGATGCTAGTGCATCTTTGTTGCACATAATACTAGCTTCTGATTTTTGATCGATACTTTATATCACATTAAGAAACAATCCCTTTATGCCTATATTTTATGGAGATTTGTCTTTTTTTGGGCATTGATGAGTGTTATACTTTGTCAAAGGCATTTTTTTTTTGTTCTAGTATTAGTGAGGTAGTTTTGATTTTTTTTTTTGTTTTATATGAGTATGTTCATTGTTTTCCTAATGGTGAATATTCCTTGCTTCCTTAAGGAAAAAAATCTAAATCGATCATAGTGAGTGATTTTGGGGGATAATTTTTTATGATCTTTTTTTTTTTCAGAATTTCATTTTGACATTTTGAATCAGTATTCAATAATGATGTATTTTTTTTGGATTCTCTTTCTTTTTTTTGTCCTTTCCTGGATTAGGTATTAAGATTATATTGATCTCCTAAAAAGAATTTGGTAGAATGCCTTCTTTTTCATTTTTTTTGAGAATATCTTGTCTCGTAAATGTATTAATTTTTGCTTAAATGTTTTAATAGAATTTTCCTGTAACCAGCTAACCCCCTTGGGAAAACTGCCTGCAATCGCTCATTCCATTTCCTCCCGTCTTCCTCTTTTTTCAACCCTTTTTAAGATGGCTTCTGAAATCATCATTCAATTGAAATTGTCTTTTCCAAAATTACCAATAATGTCTTAATTTCCAAAATCTAAGGTACTACGCAATCAAGGTAGTGCATTGAAATACCCCCTCCCCCTCCTTTTTTTAAAAAAAAAAAAAAAGAAAGAAAGATGATGTCGTGTGTTTTTTTAACCATTCCCCTTGTGCAGTATGGTTCACTGCCAGGGATTTAATTCAGAACCACGCCACTGCACAGGAATAAATTACATTGAAATTGTAGGAAACTAACGCGAGATCAGCCCTCAGACGGGGGGCGGAGGTTTTCCTGTGAGATCAGCCTACGAGCTGGGGGCGGAGATTCTTCTTGCTCTGTTGCGGGGTGCTGCGGCAGGACTTTCGGGGTGCCGCAGAGGAAGAAAACGGAGAGGGACGTGCGCGGGCGGGTGTGGCAGCAACAGGAGACCGATTCAGCAGCTGATGCGGGCTGGCCACATTGTAAGACCTTAGAGATGCCCATCCTCTGTATGGATGCGCTGGGGGGGGCGGGGTGCGGGTGAGGTGACCGGGCCCCGGGAGCTAGATTGAGGGGGAGCTAGAGGGATGCGGGATGGCCCCGCCCCAGGCCTGATTTTCCTTTGTCCCTTAGTTCTATTCCCGCAAATGATACATTGGCCAGATTGGATGTTAGTCTCCGTGCACCCCTGGGGTCCGCCCTGCCCGGGCCTTGTTAGATGTCCCTTGGATGGCGGCCTGAGGCCACAATGGGAGCCGCCCAGGAGAGAGGGAGGGCCCAAGCCTGTGCTTAGACTCCCGTTTTTCTTTAACTGGAGGAAGAAGCTTAATCCGCTTTCTTCTAAATGCAGAAGCACTATGAATTAGGGCCCGATTGCAAAGATCTACCCTTAGACTAAAGCCAAATTTGGTTGTGGTGATGTGGAGTATCATAGCATAAATATACTCGTTGGGTTCTTTTGTCTCTTTTTTAGAAATTAATCCCTATCCCCATCCATTGAGCAAATTAAAAAAAAAACGACTCAATACAATGGGGAATAATCAATCAATCAACATTGTTTAAACTCCTACTGTGTGCCAGGTACAGTGCCAAGCGCAGGGGCACAAAATAAGGGAAAGGAATAAGGCTTTCTATAGAGCCTACTATGTTCCAGGCACTGTGCTAATTGCTGGGGATACAAAAATAAGGGAAGGGAATAAGGATTTCTAGAGAGCCTACTGTGTGAAAGGCAATGGGGTAATTGCTGGGGATACAAAAATAAGGGAAGGGGATAAGTATTTCCATAGAATCTACTATGTGCCAGGCACTTTGTTAATTTCTGGGGATATAAAAATAAGGACAGATGAACATTTATGTGGAGCCTCATATGTGCCAGGCATTGAGGTAAAAAAAAAAAAGAGGGAAGGGAATAAGCATTTTTATACAGCCTGCTGTTTGAAAGGCCCTGTGCTAATTGCTGGGGGTACAAAAATAAGGGAAGGGGATAAGGATTTCTAGAGAGCCTACTGTGTGAAAGGCACTGGGATGATTGCTGGGGATACAAA